AATGTCTCAATTCTGGTGGCGAATATGTTGAAAAATAGCTGGACACTTGCTGTATCTGTTGCAATAAATATTTCCATGAAATTGTGTTTTGTTTCTGTAAACGGCCCCAGGGAAACTTACTTTGTGGACGAGCCTCGTATTACATACTGTTTGCATTATCATTCCCTTTTCCTTTATAATATACAGGTAGGTGGACACTTGTCTATACTGTGTACTGGAAATTACTGAAAATATTATGAGTTGGTGTGTCAGACCATGTTATAATTTAATCTGCTTTGAACTTGATATACAAATTGTCAGTTATATGTTTTAGTATAATTTGAGCTCTGAAGTCTGAATGTACCATCCAGATTTTAGGATTTTACTTTCTGGTATTCTATGCTTATTATTCTTCGTATTTATGTATCCATGTTTCTTAAAATGTCTCTAATTATCTCTTGCCATGTTTTGAATAGTACATTGAATTAACAATTCTTTTCCCTTCCTTAAATTTATGCATTACCTTTACACTGATCACAGCTTCCCTTTGCTCCTGTAGAATATCCCAGGCATCAAGTGTACCATCCATTCTTGTAGTGAAGAACACGGAAGATCTTGTTGGACTCCATGCTCCATCTGTAAGTTGAGCTTGATGATTGCTACATAGTCAACAGAAAAATGCACATTGCAATTACTTCATTGTAATGTATGAAACCTGCCAATTTGATTTTCTACGCAATATCATGTTTGTTACATACTGCTTTACTGTCAGTTTACACAGAACACTGGCTTACCATGTCCACATTATTGATGATTCCTTGCAGTCTTCTGACCAAATGCGTGCCATCCAGTCTCCAATGGTCAGGAAATTTTTAAGGAAAGATGGATTTCTTTGAAGGGCATACACAGGCCCAACATGTGCAGTATACTTGGACACAATTTTTTCAGCAGCAGTTTTTCCTTTACGGTTGCAACTAATGACACATCCATTTTCTGTACCAACCATAAAACGTGTTGGAATTGTCCCTTCATATTCTAGACATGAAGCTCCAAGGGCTCGACTTAAAACTTGCTCTTCTCCTTTGACCACATCAAGTATTAGTGTTTCATTTGGTTCATTTAATTTCCTGGTATCCCACCATTTAATCTATTAAATAGGAAATATAAATACAGAATAAAACTCGATACAAAATTATGCAACAAGGAATTTTACAAGACGTGAGAGAAGATTACTCTATTGTTTAAAAGGCACCTTTAATTTTCTTCAGAATAATTGCTACCTTAATTCTGTAAATATTAGAGAAGCATACAAAGGCAAAGACACATGTCTGGCTTTGAGTAATGTCGATTGTAAAACAACTTGGGAATTGTTGCACAGAGCAAATATATCTAAAAGACTAATGGAGAGAGTAAAGAATATTTATACAAATGTGAAAACAATATATCCATGTATGGCACAAAATCTTAACTTTTCAGAACATTTAGAGGGCTTAGACAGAGAAGTCTTTTACCTCCTGTGCTGTTCAACATGGTAATGGATTACATAGTAAGAAGAGTAACAGAAGGACAATATAGCAGATTACCAAAAGCATAATTGAAGTTTTGATTATGTTTAGTATGATTTGTACACACATCTTGTAGATGGGCTTATAAACTGTAAGTTTTGGCCTCTTATTTCATCAGCTTTAAACTTTTGTGATTTCTTCCTCTGACTGAAGAGCATGTTGTATCAGAAGATTCACATTCACAAAAAAGTGTGAAGAAAATATCTGTTTAGTTAGTGCTATATACTACAGAGTTTACAAAAATGCCATATAGCAGCAATAAATAGGGATGAATATTGCTTACCTGTCCATCAGTAGATGAAGAGAAAAACTCAGTTCCTGACTTGGAATTTATCCATAAAACACTGTAAACAGGATCTCTGTGACTAGGCTCTAAAGCACTCATACCCGCAGGTGTTGAGCTTTTTCTTACATCCCAGAAGGCCACTTGTCCACTGAACATACCACTGACTAAGCAGTTTGGATCTTTAGGGTTATATTCTAGGCAGACTATTGGCACTGCAGGCTTCAGTGTAAGCTGAGGCTTATTTGGATTCTCTGCAGGTAAAGCAGTATCTAGGTTAAACAGTAATGAAGACATGCAGCTTACATATAAGAGGTTTTCAAAGACAAGGAGCTATAGAACCTGAGAATTAATTTATTCTTTTTTTCTGTCTCTTGAAACTGAAGTGAATGTTTATCACTCACCTACTTCCCATATATAAGAGAAAGTGGATAGATGACGTGGTGATCTTTGGAATTCCAAGTTGCAGTGTGATACTGCAAGCCGAGTTCCACCATCTGGAGACCACGACAGATGAGTGACAGGCTGGTTCACTTTATTTGGATCTCGATAAACATTGAGTGTACGAGCTGAGCAACGTTCCATAATTGTAGCTGATTCAACACCTTCAAAATATTCTTCATAAATATTAATAGCATTGTTTTGTAGTATACAGTGTTCCATTGCCTAAAAAGAGTAACGTTCATAATACTGTGGAATGATTTTGTATTAAGAATTAACTGAAATGAATTATTAGACAAACTCTGACATAAAGTAACAGGAGACTTGATAGTTTAGAGCACATATCAGAATAATGGTCATTTTCGTCTTATGAGAGTTTTTTTCAGTATACTTTGCAGGGATCTTATACAGGATTGTCACTACTTATTTCATCAGCTGTATGCCTGCTTAAAATTCAAAACATTATAGATTCAAATTTTCATCTGCCCTTTCTTCATAAATTTTTGTTTGTCTGAAGTATATGCTATTGTGCTGTTTTTCCTTGATTGTAAAATTAAGTTTTATTCTACAGTGTTTTAATCCATCAGCAGTTTAAAGCCTGAAGGCATGAGACCACTCAAAAAACCTTGGCATAGGTGGGAGGATAACATTAACATGGACTTTAAGTAAATAGTGTGATAGGGTATGGGCTGGATTCATATGGCTTATCATAGGGATAATAATGGGCTTCTGTGAACAAGGAACATTCAGGTTCCATAAAAGGGAGGGAATTTCATGACTAGCTGAATGTACCATTGGTTTCTCAAGGAGGATTCTGCTCCATAGAGTTACTTGGTTATTAGAAGCTTGAAAACGTCAGACAATAATGGTATGTTATGTTGTTGATATTATGTCCACATCCAAGCACTGATATAATATCAACCTTCTAAGTAACATGAACCTATATGAAATATGTTACCTATACTACAATTATGTTTTATGCACTAGTGAGACTGTTCTAAAGAGATAAATTGTCTCTCTAATTGTGCTGCATGCCGTGATTATAGGAAATGTAGAAAGAGAACTCTGCATATACTGAGACATGGTAAGACGAGAGAAAAATTTCCAAGAATTAATGTAGTCTTCACATCTTCAGGGACAGTTTTGGGAGACTCAATTTGAAATTTCCATACTTCGAGATCTGACTGGATTAAGTGATAACCTGGATTTACAAAATTCTGAGTTGCAATATTTTACTGTACTGAATAATTCAGCAAAAAGTGAAATGTTATCTAAACTGAGTGAAAAGACATTTTTCTCATTTATGCTGTGAAGTCAATATGAGCAGGTAAAATGATAAGTAAAAAATTATAATCTTGTTATATTTGTAGTTCTACACATTTTATAATGAATATTCTTGATTTTCTAGAGTCTGTATTGCTGCACTTCTAAATAAACTTTTATTAAACTATATTGGAAAAGTATGCAGTAGTCCTGTGTGAGGCTTAGGGTTTTCATCGCAGTTGGAATTCAGATTCTGGTCTTCTAGGTTGTGACACTGTGTAGGTGGTCTAGAGTTATTCCCTGAATATGGAGGCAATCCAAAGTGTATGTACTGTTTCACATATATATTTGTTATGTGTATACGAGATGATCACTTTAAAAAGTTCTTATTGTTTCATAAATAACACATGAAAAGATGTACATGGCATAAATATTTATCTAAGAAATGGCCACAGCTTTTTTCTGAAACATTTTTATCTACTCAGTACCAGCTTAAATATATATAAAATGTTCAGATTTTCATATAAATTGATGACCATCCAGACTGCATGTATGTCATGATGCACATCTATTCATCCAATGTGAACATACAGAACACAATGAAGCTAAGAGGAGTTTATGTTTTGTTGCAAAAGTGCCTAAAAATCAATATTGTATTTTACTTAACCCTCATTCTTTAGATTATCAACAATTTAGTACATTTTTGTTTATATACAAAAAATCATAATTGTTAATATGTCTCACTCACATGTGTAAGCTGTAATACAGTATGAATATACATCTCATCCTTTTCAATCTTTTTCTTAAATCTCAATGTTTGTTCTTCATCTGCTGGGTTGACTTCACGTGGCCATCCCCCTTCAGTGTGATTCATTCCATGTTGATCATATTGAGCTCTTATCGTGTTTAACTGGAAACAAAAAAACATTATTGTGTATGTTGAAATTAGTATGTTTTTTGTTGTGAAAAGCGAGTTTCATGCACTTTTTCAAAGTTTAATGAGAACCTCATCCTACTGGAGGAACGCATGTTTTACAGTTATTAAACCACAGGGTTATAACGCTATAAGAAGAAGAAGAAACCAGAGATTTTGGAGGATGCTATGTTTTCCAGTGTGATGAATTATACAAAAAGAATTATGATGTTTTCCTCAACTTTATGGCATTTGCAAATAATTTACAGATTGTTAAAAGAAATTGTGGGGGATAATGAAATCAGAACCTGAAAATATTTGCAGGAAATTACCTCATGTTCAGCGAGGACGCTGCTGCACTGCGTGCTTCGACTAACGGGATTCTTAAATATGTACTTGTTAAGCTCCTCTTTGTTAGGAGTTACGTTTTCCAATAATTTGGGACCCTCATCAACAAAGAGGCACTGACGCCCAAACTCGGACCTCTTCTTAGTATAAGCGTACTGTATTTCCATAATGAACTGAAATGTTCAATATCTACAATGAAAACAGTATTTGTCTACATTTTAAAGCGCTACGAATTTATATATGCAAATATTGTTTGAGAGGTTATGTTTGCATTGGTTGTCATGGGAACGGTCATAGATAAAAGGCAGACCGGAACTCGGCAAGAATATAGGGATAAATGTTGGTATTATTAGAGATTTATTCTGTGATTGACTTGTGAACTAGCGACACTTCCGATGGAAGAACTACTACAATATGTAGAAATCACTGATGAATTAATAGTGTTTACATTAGCTGACCATCAAGCAACTGTGCCACATAGAGAAGCTGAGTTAAAGCTCCCTTGAAGTATTATTTTGCAATGTTATTGTTGTCGGATGAGATTACTTCACTGTGGCGGCATCAATAAGCAGTATGAAGACGTGTGTCGAAGTTGTTATACATTATAAGTAGGTGCAATTATTCAAGTATAGCAGGAAAGCACAGAAAGTTCCGTTTAATATTTCCAAAGCTTTTAATCGTCGTGGTGTGGTGGTTGTCAATGAGCGGCACTGTAGCAGCGTGTTTGGCAGTGGCGAATGGGGGACGGGGGGTGTCTAGAATGCTTTGTAAATATTTTAATATCGATGGCTGTCTTCTGCGTTCTTGTGCCGTGTAGTATGGTAGAAATTTGCCGACGTTTCAGGAAATGAGGGAAGTGGGAGGTCACAATTTTCACTTACATTCATAACCTATTCTAAAGTGTTATATGCCAATGTTTTTTTTGCCTCCTTTGTACACATCTTTTCTGTATTTTGTTGACATAGATATAGGAAGCCCAAGCAATGTGCCCATGATTTCACAAAAATGGTTTAATGGCAATAAACGTATCACATGACAGTACAGTTACATTCTACTTTGCTTTCTTCATGTTTCCAAATCTGTTATAACCGGATAAACTGTTTTCTTTAATGCAGTCACCTGATTACACATTCTGGTGTATTAGGTAATTTTGAGTTGATGTGTGCAAAGTTAGGGAGACACTGGAAGTAAAGGGCAGGAGAGGCAGCTGATCATCAACATTTTGCCAAACACACTGACTATTCTTGGCTGTACCATGTACCAGTTATGAATGCTTTTAGAGTAAAGTAAGCAGGACAATCAACTTTATCAAAATAAGATGAAGATATGAATAAGGAAATGTCATTTACATAATAGGCTGTTCTAGCCAAAGGCGCTGAATTTTAAACTTTGCATTAGGAGAAGTTGAAGTTTTAAGTTATCAATATGTTTCCTGAATTTTAATTGTCTTGTATTGAAATGTTGTGTGTACCTGCTTTGTGTTGCTGTGTTTTGTGCTTTGTTGAACTAAACAAGTTCCTGTGCAAATGCTAATAGAGATGTATTATATTTGCAGCAAATGGGGAGGGGGGCTACAATATAACAGAAAAATAAAATCAAGATAGTAACTTCAAAATATCAGTACCTGACATCACTACAAAAAATAATTTTAAACCATAGCATATTTATTGAATGAAATTAATTATAGAGTTTTTAATGTTTTAAATTAATTTTAACTTTGAATACAAATGTTTAATTGCTTACATATCAGTGATGCCCCAGAAGGTAGCAAAGTTGATGCTAAAACATGGGCTAGTATACTGAATATTTTAATTATTTGTTTGTAATTATAAATAATAAATATTCTATTATGATAGTTATAAAATTCAGATTTCTTACAGGAGTCTTCCGGACCACCACCTACAAGAGTTATGGAGCCAGATATACAAGAGGGGAGTAAAAGGTGAAATTTTAAGGGACATTTTGATGTTTTATTTCCAACATAAAGTGTTTTCACCACCGCCACATGAATCATATGACGTTCTTGTTGCATTTTCTGCAAAAGACATATCTAAGAAGATGAAAACTGTAATTTTCCAAATCTTAGAAGAGATTTGTCCATGTGTAGAAAGCAGTATTGTGGAAACATTATCTTTTTCTGCAAATAACAGTGCATCAGTGGAGCTGCTAAATTGTATCCTTGTTGGTGGATTTATTCCACTGTTGGATGAATCTGCGATGGAAAGATTGTTTGGGTATGTACTTTTGAACTTGAATTCTGTATTGGAAAATTGTTGATCTGGTAGTCATGGAAGATAATACTTTAATGCACTAACAAATTTAAGTAATTTTGAAACTTCTAACAGCATTGTAGGCTATTCAAAATGAATGACTGTAATGCAGTTATCATAATGTAATAACATGAACAAATTATAGCAATGAATTAACTTCATGAATAAAGCATTCTTCTCATGCCACCAGCCATATAATTTTATTAATGAAGATGGTGTTGGAACAGCAGAAGTCTGTGCTGTCTTTGGTTTCATTAATCAGAATTTGTGACTGCAGTTTAGCACTGCTTCTAAATGACATTTAGGGAGAATCCAAATTTAAAGGAAATAATCAGGTGCTGGTATGAAAATCTGATGATTAAAGGTTGTAGTTGCAAAGATAAAAAACCTCTTTTAGCATCCAATTAGAAACAGCATGTCATTTAAATCAGCTAACATTAGTTGAAAGTTGATGAGCCAGGATTGGTATAGTAGAAAATAGAATTTATTTACATTTCATAGGGCCAAGCCAAGTCAAGGTATAGAAATTTCACCAACCACAGTATGGATATTCATCTGTAGGACTTCACTTTAAACCTTGCAATCTGCAAATGCTACGGACCATTTCAGAAGAAGACAGTGAAAATGACATCCTCGCTAAAGGGAAAGTAGATGAAAGCTGGGTTAGAATGTTATGTTTGGCTCAATTTAAACCTGTGTGACTTTGAAGGATAGTTCATACAAAATGAACACCGTGTGGAAGATAATCTGAGGGAGAATATCTGGAAGATACTTAAAAATGACTCTCAAAGAACTTTGCATCACCTTCATTGTGGTTGAACTACATAGAGAGTGCATGATTTTTACACAATGCATGATGCAGTTGTGTGTAGTATAAAATATCTGTTATATTTAGAGAAAATAAGTTATGTGACTGATAATGTCATAATGCTTAAGAAATTATTACTGGGAGGAAAGAAAAAGGAATTCAAGGATTCTTTTAAAATCTTGGGGCTGTATAACTTTTGATCTGAATTTGTATAGAAACAGATTCTGTGATGAGAAATGTTCCATGTGAAATAGTGGAATGGACTGAAAATTGAATGAATTTTGCAGTCTCAGTTTTATAAAGACTTAAACTTTGTTGAATTTTCCATCATTTCTGTTCGTTTTCTCAAGATTTTGTGGTTCTGTAGAATGAAGGGAAATTTGAAGTTTTGGATTTAGAACATTTGACAGACTTGCAAATAAGACGTCTAAAATTTTACTTAATTGATAACATTTGGTAATATCATCAGATGCACAAAATATGTTTTGTTGTTTGAAATTCTTTGTTGACTTTAGTGGTTAAATCTTAAATTCATTGCAGCCTTTTATCAGGAGAGGTCCTAACTACTGAAGAAAGTGGCAAGTTACTGTTGTTTTTATGTGAAGTTGTTCCAAGACACCAAACAGTTATGTCTCAAAATTATATCACAAGATTTAATAAACAGATGATTGTATGGATGCAGAACACGCGATTCTCTCCAGTCACATCTTCACAATTTTTTAATCGTTTGGACACAAGATCTATGTCAGAAGTGGATGGGAGCCCAGCTGGAGAATACTTTACTGCTTTAACACTTTGTAAGTCAATTTGCAGTTTATGGCCATATCTCAAGTAATTAAGGATTTATTTTTTCAGTGCTGTATTCAGAAGGCCCAGGCTGGAACAAAGTGGGACCATTTTCCCAAACTGTGTTTCTCATGTAGTTTCTGAGTTTCTTCTGAGTAATGCCATAATTAATAAATTCCATAATACCCAGAGGAACGGTCAGTTTTATTTACTGTTATTGTACATTATCATCACTTTATATTATGATTTTGTGTTACAGCTGGCAGCTTCAGTAAGTCACAGGTTATGAATGTTCATACTTTCTCTATATTAAGAAAGTGGTTAGAACAAGCTGGTGATGCCTCTGAAATACAACATCTGTTTGAAGCAGTGGGAGAGTACTGTAATGTTTTGGTGGAGCAGTGTTTCAGGCCAGCTTACAAACAACATGACACTGCTCTTCAGAAAGCTGTGAGTATAATTTTTAAATACGTGTTTACTTAATGTTAAGTGTGATAAAGTTCAAATATTTGGAAACACAATAACAAATCAAAATGATACTCATGAGGAAGTTGTGAGGAGACTAAATTCTGGAAATGCTTCCTACTTTTCAGTTCAAAATATTTTGTCTTCCCGTCTGATTTCCAAGAACCTGAAGACAATTTTGCCTGTTGTTTTGTATGGGTCTCTCCCTCTGAGGGAGGAACATAGATTGCAGGTTTTTGAGAATGGGGTGTTGAGGAGGATATTTGGGCCTAGGAGAGAAGACGATGGAGTATGGAGAAAATTACATAATGATGAACTTAAAAATTTATACTCCTCCAGCAGTATTGTCAGAGTGATTAAGTCAAGAAGAATGAGATGAGTGTGGCATGTGCCATGCATGGATGGGGCAAGAGGTGTGCACCAGGTATTGGTTGGGAAGCCCAAGGGGAAGAGACTGCTGAGAAGACATAGACATAGATGGGAGGATAATGTCAGGCGGGATCTATGGGAGATAGGAGTTGAAGGAGACTGGATTTTGTTGGCCAGGACAGGGTCCAGTGGAGGGCATTGGTGAATTCAGTGATGAACTTTTGGGTTCGGTAAGCCATCTAGTTAGTTAGTTATTATGAAGTTTTGTGGTTGATATATTGCTGTATCTAATAGAAATAATATTAGGTTCTGTATGATTGTAATAGTATGGATATCAAGAATATGTCTTGTGATTTTTAAAATGTTTGTTTCTGTATTTCATACAGATTTTTTAAAATTTATTTTCAGATTCTGTGTGAAGTATTGGATGTCCTGAATCAGTTGGTTCAGTTAGACTCAAGTCAAGGCTCACAAATATTGCAGGTTGTTAAGAGGATACAAACTAATGTGACTGAAAAATTTAAGTCTGATCATTGTGATATTTCTATTTTTGTAAGACTTCTACATTTCCTTCTTAATTTTGGTGAGTTGTATGAAATTTACTGAGTACAGAACATATTTATCCAGTAATAATGTATATTAATTTGAAATTTTATATTACAGGTGCTATTACAGGTTACAATCCACAGCATTTCTGCAGCCAGTTTTTTGGAGATATAGTTTATCGTAGCTATTCGTCTGAGTTAGCAGCTTTTGACATCGCCACATTCATTCTGGAAAATCAAGTTAAAATGGCATTATTGCAGCAACAACTTACCCAGAAGTACTTTCCAAATTTGCTGAAACTTATTGCATATCATCCTGCCAGTCTTGTTGAAGAATTTGTAGAACTGATCTCTACATTTGTGGTTCCAGCCACTACAGTGGAGGTACTATGTTTAACTTCATAATTTATCCTCTAGAATTTTTGACATTTGGACCATTTATTTACTTACCACTTGCCTCATAATGTATCATATATTGTATTTCCCTTGTTTTGCTGTTGTATGAATTATTGTCTACAGAATATGTAAGGTAGTTTAATACTGCATGTCATGAATACTGAGAACTATTTTTGGTCTATGAAAACATGGAAATATATTGTATCATGGATCAGTTCAGAATGATAAATATGTTACCTTTACAATTAACTTTTACTTCAATTAATGTTCTGCTTGTTTACAAGTCACAGTCTTGATTATGGATGGTTATATGAAATTTTGCAAATTAATGTGTTAGATGCGTGTGTACAAATAATTTGTTATATTTTGTTTTCTGAGTTGAAAATGCCAACATGACTGATATGAAAATTTGAGATTGGATTTGGAAATCTTGTTATGGTTGTGTAAATGTTCATATGAAGTCTCTGACATCAGAATGTTTATCAGTCACAGGAAACTCTTGAATTATTTTAAGGTGCTGAAGATTGAAATCTTTGTATGCAGGTATTCCACAGCTTAATTGACTTACCAGCTCTGTCAGCTACACTTTGTCTGCATCAGGCACCAGCAGTTCTACAACTTGATCAAAATGCAGGTTCAGCTGGACCACAGTGGATGTCATTACTAGAGACTGTTCACTCACCAGCCTTCCAGCCTGTGTTCAGTTTCATGCTGAGAATGGAGAGTGGAAAAGGGAATGCATTTGATGGGTAGATTTTATGCAAGTTTAAATTTTCAGTCATTTGTATATTGTTTTAACTTTATTGGTTTACTTTTGCATGTAGCTATTTTGAAACCATAGCTCTTAAAGTTCATAAGGAGCTGCAGTTAATACATACATATGTCTATGATTTTAATGCTTACAAAGTTACTGTTGCTTTTCTTCAGTTAGATGAAGGTTCCAGTAAAAATGTGATATGTTTATTACCATTTCTGTTGGGATATATGCAGTTTTCTTAACTTTCTGATTTCAGAATTGGAACATATCTGGATATTTTAGGTGAGCTATCAAGTTATCCATTAGTTGTCACCTGCAGTCAGGTAGTTCCGCTGTTGCTTGATGCATTCTTCAGTGAGGTGCAGTCCAAGGCTGATCCACAAGTTCTTGTGGTCCTTATACCAGCCATGTTAGAGAGACTGAAGTTTGTCTATAGAGTACCTGGTTACCAGGAAGCCATTTGTAGGTGTGTGGACAGAGATATATTTTGATAATATAGTGAGGAATAAAAAAATGGAACACCGTAGGGCAGGTGCTGTCAACCTTCTAGCATCTGACACCACATTCACACTTTCTTGTTGACTGGGGTGCTTCTAACTTACTAACACAAATAGGTTCACATATTACTCAATAATTTTCTTTAAAATAATTGACTTGCTGTATTCATTATTCGGGGTGATATACAATTACAGAATTGTATGCATACCACATAAAACTAGTACCATGGAAACTGAATTTTTCTTTAGTAGGTTGGCATTTTTGTTAAACTAAATTTCATGAAGAAGTTAATTACCTGGAGAAGTATAAGTATATGAAAAAATTGCAAATATCAGTAATATAGTTGAATGGATTGGGCTACTATGTATGTGAAACAATTGGAAAATTATTTAGGCAGAATAGTTGAAGAGAGCATAGAATTATGAAGCTGTGAGTTAAAGATTAAGAAGATCAAGGAGATAATGAAGAGGATTTTGAGGCTGGTACAGGCACAAGTTTCCTAATTCATTGGAGAGAATTATTGCATATATTTATGTAGAAAGCTAGACAGGGAAGAATATATTTTTTAAATTAATTTTTTTATTTTGATATTCATTAACACTATATTGTACTGTATATATCCATTTTCAGGACTGTACTGCATCATTTCAGGACAATTTTGAAAATATGTCCTGAACTAGTATTCACAGCACAAACAAATTTTCTTCAGTTTATCTCTGTTTTGGACAACAGCCAGAAATATTCGCAATTCTACATGCATATAGTATGGGCTGTTGGTGAATATGCATCTTCCAGTTACAGGTAAAATCATCCATGTTTGATCTACTTTTAGAGCTGGGATAGTGACTAGGCTATGGATTGGATGACCAGGCTTCGCTTCCTGGCAGGGCAGGATTTTTTTCTTTTGAGACTGGCTCTGTGGCCCAACAAGCCTTCTATCCAAAGGGTATCACCATTTTTTTCTCAGGGTAAAGCAGCCAGGGCATGGAGCTGATTATTTGCCTCTTTTTAGTGTCTAGGTTAAGTTAACTTTGGTATTTGCTTTCATTTACTCTGGAAAATGAATTGTATTTTGAAATTAAGAAATTACAGAATTCAGTTTTATTTCCTTCCTCATGGATTCTGGAAACGGAGGCTATCTTATAACCAATATCATTTTGTAGGTGGGCCACTTTGTGAAAATGTACAGTTAAGTCTGGGTAGTAAGGAAGGCAGTTAAAATAAATTAATTTTATAATTTATAAATGAGTTGAATATTTTTAAATAATTCATAAATGTGGATTTGATTACAGTAAACAGTGCAGCCATGAATTGTTGGTGAAGTATTATGAGGTACTGGAATGTGCTGTTTATGAAACTCTATCTGTCATCTCTGTTCAAGAAAAAAACATACCCTTCAAACTTCTCAATATTGCAAGTGCTTCATTAGCAAAGGTAATTAAGATTAAAAGGTAACAGTAAATATGCTTTATAGATTAATGATCATAGGATTCATATTTTGAAAAGTAATCATAAATTTAGTGGATGTTTTGTTTGAAGCAGAAATGAGATTTGAATTTAATTTTTTTTGTGCTTATAGAGAAAGTGTTATAACTCTATATGGAAATTTATCAGTAAACGTTAACCTTGCACAAGTAACTGCCACCAAATGCTGTGGCTTGCTTTACTCTTTCATTTTGGGTAGCAATGTAAGATTTTTGTGGAAAGTCTGAGGATTAATATTTGTTATCCTTTTACTACATTTTAATGTGACTGATGTTGTCTTGTAGCTGGCTAGCCGATGTCAGGATCTTATCCCCAGAGTCTTACTTTGCTTGAGAAAAGTTGGTACACAAGTAAATACAGGACTACCAAATGCAAACAAATCCGATAAAAAGATTGTGTATGACCGAGTGGAGGAATTAGTGTGTCTTCTCAGCAACCCAAAGTGCGTACTGATTCTTGTTGAATAAGTTTGCAGAAAAGTAATTGACTTGTTTGTATATTGGGAATTCACCAGGCTGCACAGTGGGATAGATTGCGATTCTAGCTGGAAAAAAATCATTTTTCTCACATTTAAATATGTCAGTATTTTTGCTTGGATTCTGTTAATAAAGACCCCTTCTATAAGAGAATGGCAAGAATACATGTTTTAAACAAGACTAACGCACCCCAGCTTCTCTTATCTGTTAGTGTTGAAGGAGGAAGAGATGCTTATATCAGTAGTCACATTCCAGACAGCTTGGAATCAAGACCCTTGTAGCAGCAGACGAAGGGAAAATCTTTTGACATTTTAAATGAAAGTTATTGAGTAAGGTATGTACTATATTTTGTAGTAGGTTTTGTATAAATATCTGTATTATTTTTATACATATGGCACGCTAACCCAATTATGGCGCTTTTACTGATCATTTTTCTTCTTTCCAATGTTCACATAGACTTTTAGTTGCTAGAGTTATCGAGAGTCACGACCAAATTCACGTAAAAATATAGATTAGAGTATGCACTTTAAGATGAGACCTGTTTCGTTTGCTAGTTTTTGCTAATGTGAGTACCGTGAATTTTTTCCAGAATTAGGAGCACCTCCGCCAATTTCGCGCCAAGAAATATTTCCGTTGTTGTGCAAAAGGAATACAGCTTTTGATGAACTTTGTGATTATATTCTTAAAAGATTAGATATTGTAGAATGTTCTTCCGAAAATAGAAACCATTTAAGAGTGATTTTGAAGAATCTGCATAGCAATTTTAAGAATAGCAGTAAGAATTTAATTTTAGATAAGAATTCTAACTGGTTAGATGTGAATCTAAATTTGCCACAAACATTAGTAGAGCAGATAAAACAAAGTAACAGGGATGAGCCATCGACAAATGGGGTCAGGGGTAGGTGAAGAAAACTTCTTCAAGAATGTAGTGATAGAGGAGAACGGAAAAAATTCAGCTTTTAGTGGAAAATCATGAAGAATCGGCGAATATTTCTGGAATTAATGAAGATCTTATTCGCCGATTTTCTATAATTTTGTGCACGTTGACCTGTGGATACACAGTGAATGGTGAGGCATTTGATAAATATGCCATGGAAACAGCAAATTTATATGTTAATTTATATCCGTGGTACTACATGCCTGCAAGTGTCCACAAGATACTGATTCATGGCGGAAAAATTATAGAATCTGCCATTCTGCCTATTGGATTGTTATCTGAATTTGGCCAGGCATAAAGATCCCCTGAACCATAGGCTAATTCCCCAGACAGTAGTCTCTGTTCCGATGAAGAATACTGATATGAATAATGCTCTGAGTTAAATATTTATGTATTAATGTTGTGTATTCAAAAGTAGAGTAGCTTTTATAATTATATTTGTATTGTAGTGATATTTGTTTCTACTAACTTGACTTGCATGCATTATTTTTCCGTATTTAGATGCGTATTTCGCCCTTTTTACACATAAAACTACTTAATATTTATTATAAATTAATGTATCACACTTTTTGCTGTCAGAATTTTCATTTTCAATATTCGGATTAAAAAAAATCAAGTTTCGATTTTTTTCCGGCTAGAATCGCAATCTATCCCACTGTGGGCTGTAGGAATAGCCACTGATCATTCAAGAATTATTGAACATTGGTGTCTTTATGAGATTTCTGATTATACCAATATTATGATGGATACTGCCCATTGTCACAAAACCATAGAGAATCCTGGAATTTTTGACAAACAATAATGCAAGTAGGTGGTTTTGCAGTGGCTCATCTAGTGGATACTATTATGTCTGCTGCCCATTACATGCAAATAAAGAGAAAGGTAAACAGAGGTACTAACAATTCAGTATATTTTAAAAGTTTTTTCTGATGAAATCTAGAGTATTACAGTGAATAACAATGGTGGTAGTGATGACGGTGAAGTAGTATAGTAATAGTGCACACAAAATTACTGACAGATGGAATATAATCTACCACACTAGTCTTTCCATAATAAACAGTAAAATTTAATAAGCCCTCAGCAGCCTAATCTATTTTTACAGACAAGGGTAATTTTAAATATGCATTTTGAACAAAACAGATTTGGTCAGATATATTCAATTTATTACAGTGGAAACTTTGTCACATGAATGCTTATAATAGCAATGACTTAATGAATTTATATCTTGAGTAAGAAAAATGTGAAAATATTTCAGCATTGCATCCATCATCCTATCCTCAACACATACCAATGATCCAGCCATAACAGCTGTGGTAAGGGTGCTCTCTCATTTTGCCGATTCCTGAAGAATTAACGGCAAGCTGTCACTTCCAAAAAAGCACACTCTGGAGTAAGTAATATTTATTTTATTTAATTATGATTTATTTAACAACTGTCAGTAGCTCAAACTACATTATGTCAAATGGTAAGATGATTAATGAAGAATGAATTGGAAAAGATATGGAGGGAAGTTGTCATAACCTGATTTATGGTACTAGACTGATAGAAAATTTAAGTGCAAGTGTACACTGCAAAATGTAAAGGTTGCTTTAAGTTTATTTTTGTGGAAAGTAGTAGCAGCAGCAGGACTGAATGACAGTGGTGGTAGTTGCATAGCAAACATGGCTGTCAGATGATGCAATATAGAAATGTCTAAGGGGAGAAGAAGATAAAATAAAATGTGAAATGTTTATTGAAGTTTACTGAACACCCATTCCTTATATTACTTCTGTTGTACTGTCTTATCTCCTCCGTCCGTCATTAAGTTTCAAGGTCTTGTCTCATCCTCTTTGCAGTAGTTTTTGTAGTAAATTAAGTAATACTTTCCCTGTTGAAAATGTGTTGTTTTTCCAGTTTCATGACTTCTGCCACTACATTTTTCCACTTGTGGAAAGAAATAACCTTTTTTTAATTCTATGTACAATGTGGCCTTGCCATAATAGCATTGAAGTATGTATAATGTGATGTCATGAATCCCAGACATTATGTATAAATAAGACCACTCTAAGTGTATATTGGATTAGTAGAAGAGTTTCGGATGCAGAATGATATTTTGAAGGAAAATGTGGTATTGTTTCCAGAGTTTCTGGTTTATTGTTATCTTACTGTGCAATGGAGAAGAGATATTCAGGAAGGGGGGGTCAGAGTACATATTTTCAGGCAATGAACAGCCAGAATTACTCCATAAAGGTTACAGACCACACCCATTACAATAAAGTGATCAATACCTTAATTTCAAAACAAATATATTTTCATATTTCCATGCTTAGAAATTATATTTCTATCTATAGAAAAGCACTCATACTATTCTGCCACTATTCACATCAACAAATTATTATACCTTATGCATACAGTAATGTAAGTAGGTGGATTTGCAATGGCTTATCTAGTGGATACTGTTATGCCTGCTGCCCATTACATGCATATGAAGAGGAAGGTCAACAGAGGTCCTAACAGTTCAGTAATAAAGGGATAGTTTTTAAAACAATTTCTTCTAAGTGCAGAGTATTACAGTGAATAATGTTGATGACAGGGTGGAGTGATACAGTAATAGTACATATAGAATTACTAACAGATGGAATATAACCTACCACACTAGTCATTCCATAATAAACAGTAAAATTTAATGTCCTTAGCAGCTTAATTATATTTACAGACAATGATAATAATAATTAGTTCATTGCCCTGATGATGGAGGCAGCAGCAAACTCTGAAATGTCAGTTAACTTTTACCAGACTGCACAGAACTACAACCCAGAAGATGGCCATCTTCGTATTTGAGAAACTGTTATGCCAGTTCATATCAAGTATTATGAGAATCATATGCATATAAAAATAGAACATCTTACAAATATACAATAGTAAGTGAACGCAATCAAATTAAAGTAGTGATTTTCAACTTTCATGCCTTTGAACTGACGAGGATTCTCGACAGGATACACAAACACTCAGAAAGTACTTGTGAATGAAAAATTTTGTTCCTGAGGTCCGTGTACTTCTCTTACATGATGTGATTTGCTTACACTTATATAACCAATATTTGTGTTAAATAAATTCTGTTTGCTATGGTACTAGTGATTATGTTTTGTTCTCGAACAGGGATTTTGTATAATTGCTGGTCATTACTATAACATATACACATTTTAAATGCTTATAATTATGACAAGCTGCAATATGATATTTTATCCTGATTTAATAATAAGGGGTGAAGTCAGCAATGCCATATTGCACAAAGAGCACACAGTCTTATAAAGGTGTGGAAATGTGGGATCTTGAGGATTATAATTAAATAACTGTGGCAATATAAGGGATTCAAGCACTTCAAATATTTCTGTTTGGAGTTCCAACATTTGTATCTCCTGCACATTTGCCTCAAACTCCTTCCACTGGACTTCAGTGCTGTACCTTATACTCTGCATTTCTCCCAAGGCTGAAACATGTTTTATCAGAATCAAATATATCAAAGATAATTGGGCATTTTAATGTGCCTTATAGCATCTATATATGTATGTTTATGTTGAAATTTACAGTTAAGATTCAAATTGTTAAGTTACAAAGGACTGTAAGATATATTCATTGTTCCCATATAGGTCTAAAATTGCTGCATACCTTTAAACCTCTGCTTGCTGTTTGAGTTCCATATTCCAATCATGGCCCAGCCATCTGTTGAAATATTGTGTCTGTAATTTTCTTCAGTTGTTATGCCATTATGGACTGGAGTATTTGGTTGGATGAATACAGATTCATTAACATTGGACCATTTAAGGTGTTTCTTTTCTATTATTTTGGAATTCTCCTGAAGGAAAGCTATCAACTCATCATTTATGTCTTTAAATTTGCAATCTACAACTCTGGACACTTCAGACACTAATGCCATATACTCTGAGAAAAGTCTAACCAAAGGTTCATATGTAAACTTACTCCAAGTGTCATCATTCTGTAACAGATTGTAATTAAGTATAATTAATTATAACAACCCCTGAGCACACAAAGTTAAAATAATTATAACATTTTTGAAACTCTGAAGGTATTAGAAAATTCACATCTGCAATACTTGTTCAGTAATGACAAAGTTCAGTTCTGTAACACAAAACATTATTGGACACAAAAAGCATAAAATTAAAAATAATTTTATTATGCATTTTTACAAAATAATTGGAAGGTAACTGCATATATCCTATTTTTGGATGTAATCACCATACATTTCATTCACTACCCCACAAGTTTCTTTAACCTTTTCACAATATAATTTTTATAAAATGAAAATACTGAATATGAAAGTAACATAAGAGCAGGTTTAATTTAAAAAGTTCAAAAATAATAGTGAACACATTAAGAACCTACAGGACCATGTGAATTAATATATTAGGATAATGTTAAAACAAGCTTTCTTGTTTGTTTTCATGCTACGTCCAAAGTACCATGTTTAAATATTCTGCCACCATCTGTTTATATTCCAAAAGATTGGTAAAGAAGCAAAAGTGAATCAAACATTTTGTTGCTGTTCTATCTGGTATTTTCTCTTTCAGGTAATGAATAAAGATTGCTGTCTCCCTCTTATGATAACTCACCATGGCTGATAATTTATTTAAGAAACTTTTAGCAGCTGCTTGCCTCTTGCCAGCTCCATTTCCATGCTTCATCCCTTCCTGACTTCCTGCCAAGAAGTAGTGGTAAGTTTTAAGAACTTTGACTAAGTCTGAAGGTACTCCAAAAACATCCACTGCTTCTGCTAATCCAACTACTCTGTAAGCTTTTTCAGAGATGTGGCATGTCTTGTCACGCAGCAGACATGAATTCACTTTCATTTGAGCTATTTTACTTTTTTTAATATCATGGTCAACACTGATGTTTGGGAAAGCAGTTACTCGACAAAGTAAGTCCTCAAGGTCTGAGACTCCTGTTTTTTCTGGAAGTGATGTGCTACTTGACTGCTTTGGATTGTTATTCTTAAAATTAAAAAAAATTCTGTTCTTAGAATGTAATATAGCAGTATTTTCATCTTTCACTGAATTGTCCTTTGGTTTTAAAGTGCAACTCACTGGTGGATTGTGTTTTTTGGCAGTAGTACAGTTTGTATGAACCAAGAAATCTTTCTGGTATGTTGTTTGAAATGATGGACCAGATTTAAATCTTGGTTTAGTGATTGCTTTTTTATCATAATTTCCATTCACAATTGGAATAGATGTAGACTGCTTCTTCGTATTTTTCAGTGTTGTCCTTGGAGAATGGTTATCAACAGAACTCCCCTTTGTAACAGATTGATTATTAACTGATCTCTTCGTAATATTTAAGGATCCATTACTGGTTGTCACTGGTCTTTTAACAGATTTAATCTTTGCATTATCAGTTTTCTTTTGTACTTTATCATTAAGTTTCATGGAGCCAAATCCAAGTTGTAATGAGATTTTCTTTGTGTTAGACCTTTTTATCAAGGGTGAGCTTTTTGGTTGGTGCTGTGAAACACTCAGTGTTTCTCGTAGCTTTTGTGCTTCTTCTACAACTTGTTCGATATTTTTTGCCACTTCAGCAATTCTGGAATCTTCATCATCCAAAGTACAGTCAGGTGGTTCTTCATAAACAGAATCATCAGGAATATGCCAGTTGTTTAACAAATGCTTTGTTTCATCACAACTTGCATGTATCAGTTGCTTGGTTCTGGTTGTTGCGTCTAGAGTATTTTGTAGTACAGCTAATAATCTGTCACAAAAATACCATATTTTCAACATGAGCACAGCTGCTATGATGGAAAATTTCAGTCATTAAACAAATTTAGTAAAAATCTGGCAGAAAAATAGTATAAATAAAGGGTATCTATAAAAATTCTGCTGATCCCAAGAATGTGAAATGAAGTCTAGCATTAAAGTTAGGTTACCTGTAACTAAACAGAAAAAGTCCAAGAATTTGATTTCAAATAGTCTGTTTGAATGTCTACTGTTAAAACAATTCTAAGCAAAGATTCAGAATATTGTAGTATGAAATATTCTTCCCTCCAATCCCCACAACACACATTAATTCCAGTTATGCTGATGGACAAGATAGAAACTGCTAAAAACATGGGAAACTGAATGTAGATACTGTAATTTAACCAAATTTTGTGCTGAACAAAGCATCCAGGCGTCTGTCACATATGGGACAGAAAGCCTCACTGTCAATAAATGTGTTAAGAACACAACAGTAGGTATTAACAGGAAGTAAACAATAACACAGCAAATGTGTCCTGCTTTATAGCAGTGTACCGACTGCTGATCTGGATCATAAATACATGTGCAATATTTATTTAGGAAACCGATACCCATGTTGGGTTACTGTTAAACAAGAACAGTTATGAATTCTGTAACTTGAACTACATTAACTTAAAACCTTTAAGCTTTTAGGTTAGTTTGGATAAATGCATTTTTAGGATCACCTTACCTGGACAATTCAATTTGACTTATATCGCTATTTTCCATAATGATAAGTACATAAACTTTCTTGTTCAGTTGTGGCCTCCGTTAGAATAAATTCTAAGGACATAAATGTACAAGAACAGTATGAAAATTGAAGCTATGGCGAGATATACACATGTACATTTCCCGCCAAACGTGACGTGTGCAAAATTAGTTAGACGGCAAGTGACCTTTGTCACATTACGAAGCAGTAGACAAGTTACAATTCACGGAATTAGTATGTTCAAAAACGAAGAAACGTTTATACAGTTTATACAACTTATTTATTATGTTTGACCAAGTAACCTGAAATCAATTTATGCAACTGTACTCAAGTATTTAACATCACCTGAAAAGGATTTAAAATTTGAAGATTACTGTGTTCGTGGACATAACATTTCAGAGGAGATTCCTGCTTCTATCAATAGGGTTTCTCTGGAATGTGGGTCATTATCTAACAGACTGCATGATGTAACATGCGATTTTTATACATGTAATTGTGAGAACCTGAAATATAACAAATGTATGCATTGATGTAAAGTGGTCGTTAAAGCTGTCCGATCTAAATCATGGGCGGAGCGTTCATGACTACCGTGTCAACCCAGTTAACAATTTAAAAATATATCTATCTATCTATCTTACTATAAAAATTTGTGATTCCTCGTATATTATAAAAAAAAATTTGTGATTCCTCGTTGTCTTCAACCAATTTGTCGTCAAAAAATGACGTCATCAACAATACCAACAGATATTTGTTTACTCGGCATTGTTGTGGAACACAACAATGCCGTGTAAACAAATATCTGCTGGCATTGTTGAAGTCGACACAACAATGCCGAGTAAACAAATAACGCTTCACAACAAGGAAATCAAAGAATATCAAGTCAGTCGCATTATCACTGCTCCAGAAGCAGCACGTCGCATTCTTAA